AACAAAGTTCTCCCTCAAAGTCTGTAAGTCAACAAGAAAATTTGGTTGTTAATTCTACTGCCGCTACTAATGTTTGTGGAAATGGTATAGCTTGCTTTGATGTTGAAGATCTTGGACTATCAAGTTGTGRAAATGGTATAGCTTGCACTGATGTTGAAGCCATTGAACTATCAAATAACAACCCCATTGATGATCAAGTTCAAAATTCCCCATCAAAACCTATTAGCCAACATGAATCTGTCATTCAACCTCCCTCCCACCCAATGCAGACAAGGTCTAAAAGTRGCAYTTTTAAGCCAAAAATAAAAAATTATTTGGCTTCCTCCTCTAATGTCACTACATGCTCTGCATTTACCGAACCTTTATCGGTTAAAGATGCATTGAYAGTCAAAGAATGGAAACAAGCTATGCTTGATGAAATACAAGCCTTGCACCACAACTCGACATGRAATCTTGTTCCTCCTAACAAATCTCACAACTTGGTCGGATGCAAGTGGGTGTTTCGRTTGAAATACAATTCTGATGGGAGCATCCAACGTCACAAGGCAAGATTAGTTGCCAAAGGCTTTCACCAAACTCCTGGAATTGACTTTCAAGAAACGTTTAGTCCAGTGGTAAAGTCCTCTACTATCCGAATTATTCTCAGTATTGYTATTTCATTAAATTGGTGTATCAGACAACTTGACATCAACAATGCCTTCCTAAATGGTAACCTGGAAGAATCAGTCTACATGGCTCAACCCGAGGGCTTTACTGACTCGACTTGTCCCCAACATGTTTGCAAATTAAACAAAGCCTTGTATGGATTGAAGCAAGCTCCTCGGGCTTGGTTTGATAAGCTCAAGGGGGTCTTAAATGGATGGGGTTTTCAAACTTCTAAGGCAGATTCATCCCTATTCTTTTTCAAATCCGGTGGTACTTCACTATTTCTMTTAATATATGTTGATGAMATTGTCGTCACCGGAAACAATGTTAACATTATTCAGAAGTTTATCTGTGAACTAAATCATCAATTTGCCTTGAAAGACATTGGAAATTTGTCTTATTTCCTTGGAATTGAAGTTTACAGGGATAGCCATGGACTTTACTTGAGTCAAACCAAGTACATCTCTGATCTCCTTCRCAGAATGAATTTCCAGCACYTCRAGCCATGCCCCACCCCTGCTACCGTTGGCAAAATTCTCTCCAAAGCAGATGGTGTTCCTCTGGACAATCCCACAGAATATAGGAGTTTAATTGGTGCACTCCAATATCTCACAAACACCAGACCRGAGATATCTTTTATCATCAATAAACTGAGTCAGTTCTTACAGCAGCCAACCACGGTCCATTGGCAAGCGGCAAAACGAGTTCTTAGATACTTAAAAGGTACTATGTTTCATGCTTTGCATATTGCGCCATCATAAAAAATTAGTTTAGTGGCATACTGTGATGCRGATTGGGCATGYTGTCCTGATGATCGAAAGTCCATAGCYGCATATTGTGTATTTCTTGGAGCGTCTCTTRTCTCTTGGACGTYTAGAAAACAACATKTTGTTGCCAGGTYTAGCACAGAAGCCGAATATCGATCATTAGCTCTTGTAGCAGCTGAAATATCATGGATTGAGTCTCTCTTACATGAATTACATGTTCCTACAGTCAGTACATCTATTGTATGGTGTGACAACATCAGTGCATTATCATTAGCAGCAAATCCAGTCTTCCATTCCCGAAGCAAGCACGTCGAATTGGATGTTCACTTTGTTCGTGATAAGGTTCTAGACAAAAAGCTTGACGTTCGTTATGTCCCTTCTGCCGATCAAATAGCCGACTGCCTCACTAAAGCACTATCTGAAACCAAGTTCTCAGATCTTCAAGCCAAACTCGGTGTAGTCAACTCACCCTCTCGTTTGAGGGGGGATGTTAAGGAATCCAAATAACTCCATTGCTATCAATCACAAGTTTTACAGCTCACAACCACCATATAGTTGCTGTCAATTATGGAGGAATATTTACAGCGGTATCTTTGGCTACTGTGATGATATTTTCCAATTATGTATCAATCAACATTTATTGATTATTTCCTTTTATTCACATGTAACCTTATGTAATTACTTTCCTTTCATTCATGTAAACATTTTCTATATAAGTCAATACATAACATCATGCTCATGATCAACTTTGATTGAGCAATTACAAATCATTTCTCGACCTTCCAAATCCTTCTCTTGGATGCATTTGTTTTACAGTGTACTAGTTAGGTCAGCCTTAAAACTTTACAATATGGTTTTAATGCATTAGGAAGTAAGTTAAAGACTTTACAATATGGTTTTAATGCATTAGGAAGTAAGTTAAAGAATAAAGTCACGTGAAATGAAAACAATGGTAAGAAATATCCAAAATCAGCATAGGAAAAAGCAATCAACCAAACTTCGAAAATTTGGTCACGAACTGACTTTAATTATCTTATCTGCAACCATGTGGTACAAATTTTGACATAGACCCATTACCAGACAGACCACACCACATGGATACATTACGTAATTATTGTTGAGAATTAAATCCAATTAATTTAATTAGTCCCTAAATAGCTTCTTATCAACTTAGGACATATAATTTCAAAAGTTTCAATATCTTTTGGTCCAAAGTTTCAATTTGGCAAATAGTCCCTATTGTTACCTTACCATATTGATGTATTTTTTAAGTGTCCAGTAACTTTGTTAGTTAAATATAATAAAAGTTTAAGTTCGTGTAAAAAATAATAAGAAATTGGTGAGTTATTGAAGCCGATGGAAACGATAGTTTAGGATAATTATTTATCAGGTTTAACATATCCTAAAAACTAAATTTCAACTTAAAAAAAAAAAACTAAATTAGAAGTAAGCAGAAACCACCAATTGAGAAGGAAAATGGATTTAGACTTGACCAATTGACCAATTGAGCTGCGCTAAGCTGATGTGGATCGACTTCTCTCGGGTAGACTTTTGTATTTAGGGGTTGGAATATTAGTTTCACCAGTGGCCTAAGCAAAGTGAGTAAGAGTGATCGTAAATTTACATGGCTGCTTGGTTTTGGTGCTGTTGACAGGAAGAAGAAAGAAACTTCCTTTTTTTTTTTACTCCATACCAAACAAGCTTTGAATATTTTCCTTCAGCACAAACCACAAGGTTTTCTCAAGCGGATGATTCAAGGGAAGGGAAGATTTTGATGTACCACTTATGTACAACCTAATAATCACTGATGAGCGTTCAAATGGACCGTGGCATTCAATCCTTTCTTCTCGGTTCGGTTTGATTCTTATACTCCCATGACACTTCCATACAAAAGCAGGTTGAAACGCTTGAGCAGGGGTGTGCTATGGTCCAGCCAGGTCAGCCAGCCATCAACACGCACGAGCCTCCGACACGGGCAAACGTTTGATAAGAGATCCACCACTGCCAGGAACTTTCAAAGAGGAAAAGAGGCAGGACAACCTTGCTATCATGGGCTTCGCCTTAGCCACCCTAGTGACAATTGCGAGTTCTCTACCTGCACTGTCGTTGCACGTACTGTGATATCCTTCTAGATCGGCTTTTGTAATGAGGACTGCATCCCCTCCTGAGGTTGACCATGAACTCGTAACTGGTCCGCGGTTGCTGTATTCTTGAACAGCCTGGGTATTGTAACACCATATGGATACCAACAAATGAGAAAAAGCAGAAGAAAATATAATGTAAAGCATAGATGGCTTAACCCAAAAAATGAAAAGTTATCCCAAAAGCTTGTCACAGAGCAAAACTATTATAATGTCAACAAACTTATGATCTCGAGAATTTCAAGTCCAGTGAGTGATTTGTTTACCTCCCACTGTGAGGGGGCGAGCAACACTCGAGGTCTTCTGGAGCGAACGTATTCCAGAGCAGCAGATGGTGTCATGTGCTTGTATTTGACCTGAAAAAGAAAAAGTAAATCAACAAAATCTTCACTCTTCGAGCAAGTTCAGAACTCTAGAAATACAGATGATTATTCTTTTTCCCACTAAGTTATAACAACTTCTGCACAGAAGGGTACAGCATGGTTTTACCAAATAACAAAGCACAATGGTCGTGCTCCGTCCTCGTCCTGCTTTACAATGAACGTATGTTGTTTTACCACACGATGCATTTCCTGAAGGTGAGGCGAAATATAAAATTGTAGCATACCCGTCAGAAGAAACAGAGAAAGAAATGAAGCTCTACAAGAATTACAGCGATGAAAATAACTCACTGTGAATAAAGTCCACAGCTCGGCTAATATCAGAAAATTTAGGAGCAAAACAATAGTCTCTCGTGGGGATTGTTAAGTGGTCAATTCCATGGCGCTGCAGAACATTCAACAGTCAGCCCATTAGTGCCACTTTCAAGCATAAAATGATTAAGAAATAAATAAGAAAGAAAACTCTTCACTATTAGGGACAAGTATACCTATGGATAGAGTGATAAACTGAAATTGAGCTTTCTTTTAAGGAACATCAAAATTTCTCGGGTTCTGAGTAAAAGAAAACAGAACTCCGAATT